AAAAGTTATATAACATTTTATTATTTAATAATTTATTAAAATACATGAGTTTGTCCTACTCCCTGTGGGTTAACATGTGTCAATAAACTACCAGCACGGTCTGCCGAGGCACACATCCTACGGGTCTAATTCCCAATTCACACCAACAACAACAGGCGTTGCTAGTCTGTTTTATCATGGTTACTAACCGTGGTTCTATGGTCTGAGGCGACATAGATTGTGCAATATCAAGTTCTATGCTTGACTTTGGCAGTGGTTTAATGCCACTATATTATTCCAACATCATTTAAATTAGTGTGATTCTGAAACATGAAAATATAAGTCATCTAAAACTATGAACAAATGTGATACAGCGCCCGAATGTTATTTGAAAACGTGGTAAAATAACAAAAAATGGGCCCTGGAACTAGTATACAACGATTATAGATTCACCGAGCGGTGGAGCAAATTCGCTCTCGTATTTTGGCATTGTGAATTCTTATTTGAGTAGTTGTTTGTTAGCGGCAACGTTGATACATGTAAAATTGCCTTATAAATGACAATATTTCAAAGAAATACTGACGTGTCACACGCACGATGTCATTTTGAGGGTCAACACAACCTCCGGATTCACAACGAACAATTTGTTGGAATCGCGTGCGTAATTCTGTAAAAATGTGTTTCATGCTGCAAGAATAAATCTGGACAACTAACCGAGCCAAATAAAACCGAATAGACTTGACAATAATGCTATATGTGACGGTCAGAGTATTATTAAGTAAAGGCACTGGCTGGAAAATGATAACACAGCCTAACTCTCATAAACTAGATATAAAGATATATATATTTTTATATATATAAGAAGTCTCACGATATAACATTTTTAAAGCAATGGCTAGTCGTTCGAATTCGTTGCGTGTCTTGGTGTCGCCGTATTACAGGCAAATCAATCCAACATCAGTGCTGTGTTGACAGGACGTAAATCCCCATCCGTTGTGGTCGCACTGTGCCAATGAGGTTTCATTGCCATGGCAATTCACAGATTGCATTAATATGTCTGCAGTTCCTACTCCGAAGTCCGTCCTTGCATACACTACCTGTGGGCTACTATATCTGTGAGAAGATAAACGTGCATATATATATAATTATTTATTATATTTTGGGATATTCTACCTGGATCGGTGTGGATTTCGCTATATAGTGTTCAGAGTTCGCAATGTCAGATAAATAAGCAGGGGGACGATTCCACCAATGCACACAGTAAACAGATACATACAATAGAAGAGAGACGTCTTGACACAAATGATAAAAACAGGGGTTCGCAGAACGGAGCTAACATCATGACTAAGCATACTAATAACAATGATAACAAACCAAGTTTAAAATCAACCTGCCATGTATGATAATAACCCAATATGTTACAATCACCATGGCTACTTACCCAAACCCCAGCTCTTTACAAACAACAACGGCTTCTTCATGTCCAAATCCATAGGTGTGGCAAACCGTGCCCCATATGTCCTCGAGCGATACTTCAAGTCTTCCTTCATTGGCTGTACTTCCTCCAACTAGACGGACGTCTTAACGAGAAACAAAACATGTACTGTGAAATTAACAGTTTAATTGATATAAAGCCCGTGTACATTTATTCGCAATATGTAGACACCAAATTTTGACTAATACTAGTTGACCAGTAATGTTGAAATTGGATTTGAATAGTTGAAATGACAAAACACAATCAGTGTGTTAGAATGCTCATCATAATAATTGTAAGTCAGTCGTGTTAACACTGTGTCACATCATGTTTACGCAGACTAATAATATACAGCATAAATAACATACCGAATGTGCTCATATTGACGTTACACACCACTTGTAAATCATTTATCGACTGACCACTGCCCCACGTAGCCATTCCTGCATCACTGCACTGTATGAGGGCGGTCTCATCACCATCGCAGTTAAATTGACGGCGTTCCAGGGTGCCATCACCAAATTGGTACTGAACTCTCATAGCTTCATGTCTACAAGGGATGCAGGTACAATAGAAGATAAGGAGCAAGTACAAACTGTGGAAGACAAGACGTTTGTTTCGGGACAGATTGTAGCTGACGTACGGAAGAAAAGGCTCCGTATAATCATAGACCCTCCAGTCTACTACTCATCACCATCGCAGTTAAATTGACGGCGTTCCAGGGTGCCATCACCAAATTGGTACTGAACTCTCATAGCTTCATATCTACAAGGGATGCAGGTACAATAGAAGATAAGGAGCAAGTACAAACTGTGGAAGACAAGACGTTTGTTTTGGGACAGATTGTAGCTGACGTACGGAAGAAAAGGCTCCGTATAATCATAGACCCTCCAGTCTACTGGAGGGTCTATGGTATAATACCTAAAAATGACGTTTCGCTGTGATAATGCACATTCGAGGCAGTTGATGCATTGTTTTAAATGAGAGTTCTTAAACTATGTTTTTACGTTTTTATTTAATTATCCACCACAAAGAACTGGTATTCTAATACTTTAAATTCGCTTACTGATAACCCAGTTCTCTGCATATGACACCGACAATCGGGAAGTTTGATGACGAACCGGCAACAGCCACCATACCCATCCATGGTAATCTATTCATTGACACTTCTACTTTTCCCTCTTTCACGTTCCGTCCATTTACTAATCGGATATCTGCAAAAAAAAACATAGGTGGACAGAGTTCGCAATTGTATTATAGCTTGTTAGTTTTAACCAGGGTCTAAATAATGAATGATGAATAATGTAAATTGTCTTTTTAAAGTGGGGGAGTCGTCACCTGCGCATGCGTCAGATGGCCACAGCGTGTCATTGTTTATAAACAAGCGTCTACCCATGAGCCATTGTGTTTTAGCGTGTGTTGTTATAGTCGCTTGGGACTCAATTCTCGCGCGTGCGCAGATGACGACCCTCCCGCTTTAAATAACGGCAAAAATACACAAACACACCAGTAAGACACACACACAACTGCCCTACCTATTGATGTAAGATTACACACTAGCCTCGGCTGGACACACGGGTAGTTCCACTCCTGGAGGGTGCCCTCTATAAAACCTAGTGTACTGCATTCCCGGATGTTTGACTCTGAACCTTTACATGACCAATCACGAACCAGAAACATTGCTAAGATGTCGGTGGTCTGCATATCTTGATTGAAATTTGTCAAGTAGTTCACGGATGAGGAAGGGTCTCCGCTGAATTGAATTGCACATAAATTATATTTATCAGAATACGTTAATGATTATTATTAGTATGTTTATAGACACGTAAGTCTGTCGAATTTGTTTCGTAACCTAACCAGCAATATCAGCTAATTGTCTGTCAGTGTTACAGGAAACCAGTAGAGCGTTTTCAGATTTAGAGGCAGCTGTATTGTCAGCAATTTACCTGACGATATTGTTGGTTAGTTCTACGGATCAAATTCGCGGCCACAGTACGTTCGATCCTATTTTTATATGCTCTAGGCACGATGAGCTTTAGCATATGCTATAATCTCGTCTCAGACTTTACGTACCCTAGATCTAGCTCCGTGCAAATGACATTTGGCACTCTGGTGGGATTTTTCATGTCTTCATAACATAAAAGGCCATCTACTCCATTTGCGGATATGGCTACGCCCCCTTCAAAGTCACCAATCCCATCCATCAATCGTAGATCTGTTACAGGAGACATTTGTATGAATACAGGATTGGTAGCGCGTATATGCATATGGTAATTAATAGTTAATGTTTGTTTGTTTGTAATTATTTACACGTGTGGGTGTGAAGTCATAATTTCAATGTATATGTGTCGTTTTACGGGATTTTCAAGTTAAAGTCGCAAATTACGTGTTTTGTAAGCAAGCCAATATTTACGGAAATTGCGATTTCTGGAATAATGATGTTTAAAGTGCAATGTTCGCTATGCAGTCCTGTGAAATCAACAGTATATTTTTAATAATAAACATTAAGTGTTTATCTCTCCATTAATTATTTTGAATATTAATAAAGTTTATTTTAAGCAGACTTAGACTAAACTTTCAATTTATTGTCTGGTATACACATGTCTTCAACAACCTATTTTCAAGTTAAAATCGCTTGCAACAACACATCATAACAAAATTGATTTTACAAAATATCAAAATAGTATTTGGTTCAGTACAGGTTCAGTACAGTTCATGCTACTCAAGCACAAAGTCTATACAAAACGTATTTGACAATTACCAAATTGCTCCACAATATAATCACATTCAACAGTCATCGGAAATTGTGTGTAAAAGTCGGTATAACCGTCATCGATACATTCGGCAAGAGAAGACTCTGTACCATGGCAAACCATTTGCAGATAACGCGGTCCAAGGTACTTTGGTTCTTGGTAGATATACTGTACATCTCTCCTGGAATACGAACACGAGATACGTATGAATATGCACCCGTATACCGATATGAACACACCCAACACTGATATGAACACACCCAACACTGATATGAACACACATACTAGTTGTCACAACGTTACCAAGTATTAATTACGATAAATAGTCGCAATGTCTCACCGATCAGTTACCTGACGTTAACTTTATGTATACGCGCTACTAACTAAGTTGTGAAAACAACGGTCTCTTGATGACGACGATCGCGAGTTACTAAAACATCAAACGTTGCATGTTATCAAGCCTTGCTAACCCTAGTTAGTGTCATTCTTAACGGTATTATTATTATGCACTAAAACAGTTGTCAATGATGTCATAACATGCCCGATTATGCACGAAATTGTATATTACAATAACCGATATAAGAACATACCCGTGACCGAGTTGGTGACAAGCAACTACGGCGGTAGAAAAGAACCTACTCGTATCCCATGATTCATGCCAACCCTGTAGCAATAATGTATCCCATGATGCACCGCGAAACACCTGTATATATCCACCCTTTGTCAAATTGCCTTGTTCGTATCGTACGGCTATAACGTGAGAAGGAAGACTATATGATTACGTTTCTCAGAAAACAATGATATAGTTTGAGAAGTCTCAAAAACAGGGGAGACCCAGCGAAATTGACGCCATAACAAAGACGCTTTGATATTTAATATTTAGTTCAATTTCTTTGGTTATTTTGATTATTTGGATACATTTTGTAGCAACAAACCGGGTATTATTACAGCACGTTGTCTCAATAAAATAATGAACAAATACAATTTCAAATTGAAGTTTGATCCGACGAACTTAAATTATTGCTACAAATGCGCCACTGGAAGGCAGAAACATCGTGACTACAAATTCGTAATTCTTACCTAACGAGTCTGCTCTTATTCCACACACGACTCCAACAGTGAAATATTGAAGACATGACACGTCCTGAGATATTGTCCATTCACACTGGTCAATGGTCTGCTCGTTACCATGGCAATGCAGATTCTTCAGCACGAAAGAGGAGGTTGCTGAACCATGACCAAAATGACTGTTGTAGCGAGGTGACGCACCGCCCCTGTGACGAAAGTAGTCAAACAATTGCAGTCAATGCAAATATAACACAATAAAATAAAATGATTATCAATATTGTTATGAAAATCTGACTCCGAATCTACCTGATGTCCAAATGTCTGCAAATAACCTTGGCCTCCGCGTATGTGAAATCTGTTCTAAGTCCACATATTGCAATCCATTGATCGTTCTGCCACACTTCCACACCGCCCTGTGTATCATTGCCTCCAAACAGACGCAGTGCTATAAACAAGTGTACATGTCAACAAATCGTCTGGCGTGGTGAGTTCAGTAACACAAAGTTTCTGCCATTTTTCACGCCGCGGGCTTCCCATGGCTTTGTTAGCTAACACCACGAAATGTCATTAAAATTAATTGATTGAACTATCGTTTCTATAGGCCCTCAAAAACGTCCTGTTTTGTATCAAAATATTGTAAACATGCAAAGAAAAACAAATAACACCACCTTAAACCAGAAATAGTTAAAATATACCTTATTGGAAGCATCCCGGCATCATTTGGTCACGTGGTATGTCACACAGTCGAGGTCATTGGTTAACATTCACCAGATAAATTATCTTATAAATTATAACATATTTATAACAAATAAAATAACATTCATTCATATGTTTGCGTGCGTAGTTAGGAGTACAATTTTATATTATTTCAAAGATCATTGGTGGGATTTATTTAATTACTTTTATGTGATGTGGAAGTAATGTGATGTAATGTTTGTAACATACGTGATCGTGGTATCGGCTGTGTGGTCGGCGTCACTGTTGTCAACTTCGACATAGTATTGATTGTCCCCGTTTTCACTGTGGTCGCTATGGAGATGAGACAATAAAATAATAATAATACTTATTAGCTCATATGGATAATGTTAACTGTGCTACGTGTTAAATGATAACGAAATAAAACATACCAGTTCCCGGTACCACAGTTATAATATCTATGAAAAAAAACAGAACATTTTGAAATTACTGAGTGCTCTTCTGTGTTGCGTCATTTGTCTTTACACACTGCGGCCAACGATTAATTTAGATGTCGGTTATATTGAAGCATAAACCCTTGTCATACCATGAACATGTGAGTGTTATAGAACCAGATTAAATTGAAGCAACGAATGAGTTAGAACATTTTAACAATTTGTTGACAACTCAAAGTGCACGTGAAAATCAACATTGATTGGTCATTTCTTGAATAAATTTGTTAACATAAATTTAAAATCTATAATCAGCCAAGTGCGTTGCAACCCATTCTTGTTCTTACAACCCTCTGTTTTCACCGACAGAATGTAACGAGTTAGTCCAGTGTTGATTTGATTCAACGATGACATTGTGAGAACAAACAGAGAATTGTTCGCAAATACGTGTTTTTTTTAGATTTTATTCATATCTCTCACTCCCTTTCTCTTCCCATTATTTTTCCTCCCCATCTCTCTTTATCTCTTAATCGCAATTTACAAATAATATGCAACGAAATTTTAATTTCCCCAAAATTAAAGTTTAAAATCACCACATTTCGTATAGATGATCAAGATCACAATGACAATCCCAATTTCATGTCAGAAAATCGTTCTATTATTGTGATACACCATAAAGTATTTGTGTATTGATTTCATGATGACACGGCCACAAAAATACATTTTTATAAAAACTGCTTGTCGGCTGGGTCATGGAGTTAATAAATAGCAAACTAATAGACACGGTAAATGGAATTTCATGTATAGTGTTTGTAAAGCTTCGTTTCACTGAAATGAGTGCTGGGCGCCACTGGCCACATTATTCAAAGAGAACATTTAATGTACTGAACTGACATGATGTAACAGTCGTGCAGTATAGCATGTGTGACACTATTTGCCTCGCATTAACAGTGTTACTACAGAAGCTAACATATTGCCCTGAACGGAAAGGCGAGTTTTTACAGGGACTCAATCGTGTACTGTTCATCGATGAACAAAGGAGTTACATTAGTTATAATGGTCTTGTTAGTAACAAACGTCATACGTGGGCAATCGAGGGTGAATTCGTGTACAATGAATTCACGCTATTCTTTTAATTCACTGAATCGTTTAAACTAAAGTAGTATTAAAACAGAGCCATATTTACATGAGACACGTGTCATACCTTGTTGTGATTTGCCTTTAGAACTGGCGGCGACCACAGATATTGTCACAGAGACGACAATGACGCAGACAATGAGAACGATAACGCCTATGATGATTGCCAACGTACGACCCTTAGGTGCTTCATATGATGTTTCATCTGTTGATCTGTCTAGTCGATATTTGTCTTCATTAGCCATACTCTTTTATAACGTGTGATCGGTGTGACATACGACAATCAGATCAGACTCCATGGGCACAGACGCCCAGTGTTTACGTTTATTCAAAGCTACCAGTGACCTTAACTCGGCCATACAAAGCGCCCTCACATCCATAAATGAGACCCACTTTCTAGGCACTCTCCACGCAAGATGGCGCTTCTTCAAATCACTTTTCAAATCAGCCTGCTTGCGCTAAGAACTCTGGGAACGAGAGTGCTTTCTAGGTTGACCTCAACGTGCCTCATTTTAGTGGTCAAAGGTCAAGTTCATGTCGATACAACAATTACACATATTTAGACCCAATACAAACGATGTAGTGAGTCTAAACTGAGAGAGCTGTTTAGTTTTAAAAATGGAATGAGCCCGAATGAGTCACTGGTGCTTATTTGACCTCTGACATGAATGCGCTTATGAATTTGTAGCGTGTAACGAGCATATCAGACTACTAATACAATGTCAAACATCAAAAGATTTGTACTGGCCAAGCAGGTAGAAGGAATACCTCAACTCACAGATTTTAAAATTCTAGAAACCAAGTTGCCAGAGTTGAAAGATGGCGGTAAGTTTACGGGACAATCGTCAATGGTAACAATGGTTGTTGTATATACCGGGTCAGCTGAGAGTGAACTCGAATATGAAACTGCATACTCTATAATAGCCTGTGATTTACTCTTAGGAATTTGGAATCTCATGTTGTTTGTCTGAAGCTTAATAAGAGGTTTGTTGAACAAATTGAACGAAAAGGCCCAGTAATCTGCCAAAATACATCAATAAATGCAAGTGATCACGTAATGCAATGGTATTACATGTAGTTTGATAAACTGATCACTCTCCTCGCATGTATTTGTCTTTTCAGAGATATTGGTGAAAGCTTTGTATCTGTCAGTGGACCCATATATGCGGTATGTTAACACATGTAAGGGGAAAACCGTTAAAAACTCGAGGGACGCAACACTAATATTTTGCTTTCTAATTTCTGCTATCGCACCCTGAGTTGTCACTGGTCCAGTACAATCACAATGTGATTAACACTCGTTCTATACATCATTGAGGACCCATGCCCTTCAAATTATTTAAAGAATATATTTTAATTGAAGACAATCATAAATGTTGGTTGTCTCAAGTTGTTATTTCCGGTAACTAGTTTTTTTTTACCAAAGTCAAGTATTGTAACATTGTTAATAATCATGTACAATGTCTGATGGTTCATGTGAATACTGTACAACCCTATAGCAGCGAGATTTATGATTGACCTCTATCACAACTACTATACCATCTCCTAAACTTAAATAGACAAATCGTTGACCTATATGTCTTATTTTTATTTTTTTTTATAATTTCATGACATGGTCACATATCATATTACAGGTTGTTTATGTCTGGTGTGAAAGAGGGTGTTGACACAATACTGGGTGAACAGGTTGCACGGTAAGTCAGGAATATATAATTAGTCTGCTGAAGGTATTGGAGTCAGGTGTTTTTCTAGAAAAAAAAACTGCAAGAGGGAGCACTGCAATTCAGCGGCACCACCAAGTGGGGGAGATAGGATTCTTCCTACCAGGGTGTGGTGTTGTTGATAATTCTAAAGTTAAAATGGAGCATATTATGGCTTCCTTGGGGCTAAAATTACTATCAGACAGTTCACAGTTGAAGACTGTGGCCACATGAGGGTGCCGTGCCCCTGGTCCCTTGTTTGAAAAAATCCTTAGGAGTCATGAAGTACAAATAAGAAATACTGCATTTACTATATTAGAAGCACATTTTTATGCACATAAGGCAAAAATCATGTTTATTTCATGCAAAATCATTGAAATATGTCTTATTTTGACCATGGACTTGTCGTTGTCCTTAATATTTACAGTAAGCACATATGATTCTAATAGAGCAGATACAGCATTTAAATATATAACTGCAAGTGATGGTTCCAGGTTCCAAATATTCAATGAAATAATTACCATATATAATGATTTCATATTTTGGTCATATATCTTGTCAGACAACTAAATTATAGCACCAATTACATGCCCCTAACAGTACTTAAAATATTATAGTTATGCATATTATTGAGGTCACATGACCATACATTAGTCATATCACATTGTTAGCGCTGGTTGCATATCACTATATCTACATTACAGTTATGCAAGACACATGCAACCAACAACAGGTAATTAATATGCATGGGTTTCAACCCTGAAGTAATCAGATATGTGGATTATCCAAAAGCACTCATGCACCTAGTTTCATTAACATTTGATTATCTGTGGAGCACCTATAAATTGGTTAATTTATGAAAATTAGGTAGTTATTATGCACAAAATTAACCATAAATTGAACATACATATGGCTTATCCCAACACATCTAAGTACTAAGTTTCATTGAATCTGATGAGTGGTTGAGATATTGGAAGAAATGCTAAATATTGACTAATTTATATGGAAATTGAGTGATTAATATACATGAATTTCAACCAAAACCAATCAGGTCTGCACAGCAACCAAGAGCATCTATGTATCAATTTTTATTGAAATCTTTAGAATTGTTCCTGAGGAAAAAGTTAAACAGCTTAAAATTAGCTAATTAATATGCAAATTATTCAACCAAACACTAATCAGGTCTGCGTATTATTCAAGATCATCCATGTATAAAGTTTTATTGAAATCTGTTGAATTGTACATGAGAAACAAGTAAACATGATTAAAATCGGCTAATTAGTATGCAAAATAGATAATTAATATGCACGGATTTTAACCAAAAACTAATCAGGTCTGATAATTATCCCAGAGCATCTATGTACCAAGTTTTATTAAAATATGATGATTTGTTTTTAACTATTAGTGGAACGAACGGACGGACAGACAGACAGACAGACAGACTGACACACATACAGACGCACTAATCGCAAAGACTCCCATAGTGTGCTTCTACACGGGAGTGAACAAGGCCAGTAATGAAGTAACATTTGCCACATTGCTGGAATTAATAATACATGGTGAAAATTTAATTAAAAACAAATTGATGTCAATGGTTCACAGATTCGCTCAGGTAAATCGAAGGTTCTGTCATGAATTTGTTTTTGCGTATCTGTTGACCGACTTAATTAACTGATTATTAGCGAATTGCTGTGTTATGTTTGTCATCGTGTAGGCCTATTTGAAGTTTTGGACGGAACTTGGCTCAGTGGTTTGGAACTAATTACCAGATACCGTCGCTATTCTGACATCCGTAGTTATTAATGTAGTGAACGATTAATCAAAAGATATGACGTATTCAGTACTTAGTGTGAT